TAATATCATAGTATTTTAAACACGACTGATATTTAAGGTTAGAAAATTAGGTCCTGATATGGGGTTTTCGCGCAGCATACGTCTTGGATTCCGTGGAACAAAAATATCAATGATTTTACTGATGTCAACCTGGATGTCCATATGTATAAATAAAAGCATAAAGGCGTTGAATCGCTCCCCACCCATCGTAGTGCGTACATAGCTCTTAATGAAGCGTAAAGACGAATTGGCACGCTCCACAGAACTTGAGGTTACAGACGTCAAAAGTAACAGATGGATAACTTTGGTGACATTCGGGAACATTGTCCGGCATGTTCTGTCGTCCAGTAGTGTGCCTGAAAGCGTGTCTTTAATTGACCATTAATTATACAACCAAAGTACGGCATTATTAATATTAGTCATGTCATATTTGAAAATTTTAAAGGGGTGGTGAACCCCCACGCCCCCCCCCCCCCCTTAAATCCGCCAGTGCCGTCACAGGTCCTTTATAAGTTTGTAGAACTCCTAAGTTTTAGGTCGCTGTTGAATGGTTTACTACGGAAGATTATTTAGGGCATTATCAAAAAGTATATTTGAATTCGAGATAAATTATCCAATTTGTTGAAACGAATTTAATTCATTATAACTTTTTTTTTTTCATTCTTTATATCGAATTTAATTTGTCGTAATATGTTGAATTCTTTATAAAAATTTCAAAAAAAAAAATGTTAGAACAGATGAATTTGTTTACATGAATTCTATATTCTATATTTTAGTAAACACATATTAAATTCGCTTAAACGAATTTTAATTTTTGTTATGTTTAATCGAATTTGATATTTAGGGCCTCTAGTACAATATTAATGAATCCGATGTAACGGACTGCTGAATTTAAACGAATTTAATTCGTCAATGACTGTCAAGTAGTCCAAAGTGATGCAGGAAACAGGGAAGTTAGAATTAATTTTGACATTATGGATATATATATACCGCCAAGAAGACAGTATAAACTCATTTACTAGATCATAACTATCTCTGCGGTCACCTGTCTTATATTAAATAATCCGTATGTGTTTTAAAGACTGTAAGGAATTCCTTACTCAAGAAATAAATTTTAAGGCTATACATGCTCTCCCTAAAAGAAATAATTATCACAAGAAATTAGAAGGACGTTGTTTTCATTCGTGTCTCTGTATCTACTGTTTACAGGGTTATTTTCACCCCTTGTTATTTTCCCCTTTCACTCTTGCAGACAATTTCGCCCCGTTTTAAATTCGCCCAATCACAATTTTGTTTAAGAAATTATACTGTGTTCTTTGAATTTGCCAGTTTTAAATTCGCCCACCAATGAGTAGGGAGAAAGGGGCGAAATTAAAACGTCCCTGTAAAATGTCCCTGTATACATTATCTGCACGTTGACAGATAACAAGAACAGCTGTGAGATGAGAAAAATTCTCGATTTTCTATGTATTAACCTTCACCATGATTAAAAGATATTTTGAAGAGATATCAAGGCCGGATTTTGAGAAAATCAACAAAGAGTCAGAACTGCAGTAGTTTTAGCTGAAAGCTATTATAATTTGTGTAAATCTGTGAATGCTCGGTATTCGTGTGTTATACATGAAGTTCACGATCTAAAATGCAATGACACGTGTTACTTTGTTAATATTGCCAGGATTTCTGTGAAATGGTTAGTAGAGGTAGAATCGGAAGGGCCTCTAGTTGATTTATTTATCAAATAGTTCAAGCAAATAAATTGTTGATGTGATTTACGTTCTGATCAGTATATATGTAAACAGAAGATATAAATATGTATTAACTCGAAGTTCATCCTCTCTTTAAAATGAAATATGGTTATATAAAAATATAACAATAATTAACTGTGAGGATATTGAACAGTATTCATGCTCATAAGTCTAAATAAACAATATATAATTTTGAGCAGAGCAAACACGGACCTCTTGAAACATTGGTCGGATCAGATGCCGGATACACTGAAAAATCCACAAAGTATCGGAAAATGCCTTTATAAATTGTATAAAAAGTCGTCCGTCAACATTCCCTAACGACTGATCTATTTTTTTTTTTAAAAACCAAGTCAATGTATCTACCTAAGAACGTGTTATACGGTGACTTTAACGAGATTGTTGATATCTTGGTATCATCAACTTATTCGGCAGTAGTGTTCCTCGTTTCACAAAAATTTCGTACGTAGAACATATCTTAAGTATCGAATCAGCTGAAAGATATAAACCCCCTATGCAGGTGATATTGGTATATTGTTTCTAAGATAAAGGAAGTTGGCTATGGAAAGTTAAAGTTGAAGTCATATTATAAAGATTAATTTGCCATCAACGTCGTTCTCTTGAAAAACATCTAACTATGAACCAGATGTGTCAGACTCTGTGTTGTCTTTTATTTCGATTTCAATGATATCTATCGAATCAACCTGGAAACTGAAATGAAAATTGATAGTTTATAAATGATTTCTCCTATCACAGAATTCATCGTTACAAGTAATATTATGAAGATTACCAGAATTGCTTCAGATTTGACAACTACCGGTATTTCCGAATGTATTTCTAGCGACATTTTAAAGCATCTATATCAAAGGAAAGAAAAAATTTGTAATTCTTTTGAAAAATGCTGAAGATAACGAACAAAGATCGATCCCATAAATCTTACAAACAATACATATCTTTGGATCGGGCATAAAACACGGACCCCCACCTGGAAATTCCAGAGGTGTCATCAGGATCCTAGGAAGAATAAGTATCCCCTGTCGACAGTTCACACTCGCTGGCAAAATTTACTGATTAGGTAGATTGCGTAGTTAAATTAAGTATAAAAACAAAGGCCGAACACTTGGTATGAAATATCCAGTCAAAATACGACCTAATGATAGGTTAAATTTGCTAACAAGGTTATTCTAACGACCATAGAATTTAAAGTATGCTGACTTTAAACGAGGTTGTTAAAATCCTTGTAACCTAGGTTCTCTTTCAGTTGCCTGCCACGGTTTAAAAATTGATCGTACTCAGAGCGTGCTCTTCAGTAACTTATAAGCTGGGAGACAAAAACACCATATTCAGTGATTGCAGAATATTACAACATAAATAAAGAAAGTTGATGATGGGGAAGCTAAAGTTTCTCCGTTTGTCTTAAAATTTAGTTATAAATTGACCATTATTATCTATAGTCAGTAAAACGTATGAAACAGATGTGGCAGACTCTGTGGTGTCTTTTATTTCGAGTTCACTTTCACTGGGATATATCGAGTCGACATATGAACGGAAGTAGCAATTTTAATTGATAAAAACGTCGTCGATAAACTGTATGTCGAGTTGAAGGCCACAGCAAGTGTTTTCGTCTTCTCATGTAGAAGTTTTGGAATAAATTCATAGGAATACAGAAATAGGTCCGCAAATAAAGTGGCACAATTAACACCCATAACAATTCCAACAGTTCATTGGAAGACCTTGTCTCAAAAGACTACATAGTTGCCTTAATGAAGAACTCCAGCTCTGAGAAAGCATTTCTTTTTAATCATTGGAATTATATTTCAGAAATTAAAAACAAAATATTGTTTGTATATGTCTGAGAGTGTAAGTTTTGAAACATCTTTTCAGACCAACGATATAATACAATTATTCTTGAAGAGGACTATAAAAATGATGTCATTTATATCAATTAAATCCTGGATTTTGTAAGGAACTATTTCTTTTTTGACACCTAATTTGTCTCGCTTACCTATATGCCCTATGCTTTTCTATGGAGATGATGACCTTTGTTATTCACCTGTTTTCTTTATCCATTCAGGACTTTTGTTGGAATTTTATCATAAATATCGAGATTATCTAGCTAAAGATACTCTAAAATTTTGACATCTTTTTTTTTATCTTTTCTGCAGTAATTACTAAAATTAGACATTTTAGACTATTTTTGTAGTATTGTTAAACGAGCTCATTGATCGAAATCCTTTACAATATTTTGTTTTGTGTATTTAACGATGAAATATGGATTTTTATTCAACAATTATTTTTGTTGTAATTTTCAAATAGTTTGCTCTTTCCTTGTCTCATTTTATTATAGAAAAATCACATAAATGTCATGGTACAACATATCATTTGTCAATGTCTGAATTCATTTATCGGAAAATCAGGAATATTTGTTTACGTCTTATTTTCACCGCTTTCTTCTTTGATTATCCTATATGTAGTATCCTGAAACATTGTTTTAATCAATATCCTAAAAGGATCAAGGGTCACATAACGTTTATTTTGATAAATATGCAAGATTTTATGTTACAAATACTTAGAAAATATAACATATTTATAATACACAAATATCTTCCTTTAAAAGCAGTGTGGCGTAAGGTATCTTAAAAATACTTGTTTTACATGTACTGTGAAGCAGCATTGTTCGTGAGGAACAACTGTTCGGGGATTTTGTTGGTCACCCTTGCCCAAGAATTAACATTCCCACGATCAATTATCCTATAAACGTATCGAGTCATTCAATCTTCTGTATAAACAAGTTATCCACGAAATTGCGACTCAACAAACCAGTAAACACGAATTAAAATGATTCTGAAATAATAAATATAATACTTCCTAGATGTTCTTTGAAGGTGACCTTGCTTCTATTTTGTGAATCACAACAAAGCAAAGAATATTTTGAACATGTGAAATCCTGCATCGATAAATGCATCGCTAAAAATCTGTTCTCCTTTTTCCGGGGGGGGGGGGGGGGGGGTCTGATTTAATCATTCTGCTATGTTTAATTGATCCATAACTGATTCTGACACTCCTCAATTGAGGTAATACTATGGCTGGTCTATTAAAGGATACTTTTTTAATCCTCGCCCTAGGAGTCTAACATGTAACTTGATATCCGAGATATTCTCCTTTGTGTATAAAAAAGATTGCATATGTCCTGAAACTGTTTATAAGCCCATTATTTTATTTTTGTATAGAAAATAAATTAAACGACTTTCATGAAAGCTACATGTATCAATCTATTTTAACAACGAACATCCATCAATACACTAAACAAGAAGACTTTCATCGAATATTTCCATACTATCTCATCAATAAATTTCTTCGTTAAACCACATTTTTTATATACTCTAAGTTCTCATAGTAATCTGTTTCAAATTGCAATCTTCCAAAATATTCATCTCTTGTCCTATTGAAAAGTAACTGATCCAAACAAAGCAAGGTGTGTGGTTGGTAGTCGATGTGGAATTTGTTTGCGAAGAATTCGGGTCTTCGGGCGAGAAGTGGAAGGTCCCCGAGTCCAAAAATGCAAATACCCCTGACAAAGTGACCATGACAAGGCCAATAGTTTGGTGCATCTCTCCAGCTTTTAAAGCGCGATAGAAAAGGCTTCTTCAAGGAATAGTCTGTTTCAACTTGTCCTGAAAAAGGTATTTTTATTCTTTTTAGCTTTTAATTCCATTTTGAAGAATTGAATATTGAACAAATTACATGACAAACCAGATCATTACATCTAGGAAATATTCTTAAACAGAGAACAGAGAACTTTTTGACCGCTGAAAATCTTTAATCATGAATGAATTAGAGAGGTAGTCATGTAAACACTTTTTATTCAAGATGAGTGAATACACTTCATATTAAGGTAGTCCGATCCTCAGGTTAGAAAACCAGGTGTTGAGTAATTGAAAATGCTAGCAAAAATGTCTCTGAATTCTCAAAGTAATGTGTATTTACCCATGGTAGTTCCTCAAACTTCATCATTAAAGTCAATCATATCATATAGAAAAAATTAGTGAATCTCAAATAAATATTCAAGAAAAGCAAATAAAAACGCATACTAGTCGAAAATTGATCAAAAAATATATTTTAAGCTAACAAATTACAGGTATTCAGGCATTTGGAGAATATTGCATGATTTTTATACGTATACGGGACTTAAGTTTCTTCTATTTACTTTAATTATTTTATAGTGCATAGTGTATAATGCTTTTGCTTTCATATCAAAACACCATAGATCACTTGTAATTTCACATCATGCTTAAAAACATTGGTATGTAAGGCTAGAATAAAGGAAATTCGATTTCTCCAAATATTTATTTATTTTTATACTTTTATGGTGTACAACTATAAACTTTTGATAAGATCATTTCTAAGACTTCAAAGAACCTTGAATCACATTGAGATGCATGAAATGAAAATTATTGCAAGAAAAGATTTCCACTGAAGTTTCATTTATTAGACTTTTTAAATTAAATAAAGAGTTATCCTTCTTGGGCTGAGAAGCGGATATCCTTAAATGTAATATAACAACTATAATATGAGTGTTCCATAAATGTCTACTCTTTATTTTACTAGATAGAATATAAAATTTAAATAATCTCTCAATCTATTACCTTTAAAACTTCCAGGAATTCCTAAATGAGGGTTGTGGATCAAAGAAGCAAAAAATGTTTCATCAGGAACAGTTCCTGCTTTCTGCACCCAAGCAAGAAAATCCTTTGCAACATGGTTATTGATTGAATATTCTACAAAATTTCTATTTACTGTAACGTGAACTGCCCCTTTAATTGGACGGATCTTGTGTGGCGGTTGTCCAGCATTAGCCCACCTGTCTTTGTTTGCTCTGGTTTAGTTTTTTAAAAAACAGAGTGTAAATTTGAAAGACGATGATCTTAAAGTCGTAATTTTGAATCAAGTAATTATGCATTAAAAATATCTCCGAATAACTATTTCTAGCAGACTAAAGATAAAGATATTTTTGGATTCTTGTTTGCGTACAGTTGCTAAGCATATTTTTATATATTTATTTATTATAATCAAGAGAAACCATGATTAAAATGAGTTTCTAAATATGGCACTGTTTTTCTGTTTGGCCTTCAAAAAAAAAAAACAATGAATAAGAATTTAATCACAGATTTTTCTCAAATCTTTCATTGTACTTGATTTTAATTTTCTTAATTGTACCTGATTTAAATTTTCTTAATTCATACCGGACATCTTTATCAATTAATTAAGTTCAGTTCGTTACTTATCTTGCAGGAACTCCGATTTGTGTGCAACATACCTTTTAAGTATACCTTCGGCTTCATTAGAACCATTGAAAATCTTTAATATCCTCACTAGTTCAGAATTTGTGCGAAGGGGGAATTCTTGCCCCGTTAGATTAATAAGATATTTCCATTTTTTGAATCTCAATAAATCCTTCATGCAGACCAACTCTTGTGTTAATACACTTTTTCCTCCCCACTGCACTGATATTCTCTCGGAAGCTAGAAAAACATTCTGGAAACATCTTGTTATACTTGAAAAATCCTCGAAAACAACGTCAGATGTTTTATTATCTATATGAACACAGTAAATGTTCTGTGGGCGATAAATTGCCCTGAGAAGAATTTCAAACTGCTCTGGACTTTTATATGCCATTATACTGTAAGCAATAGGAAACATCATTTCTTCCTCCGATAAGGTATCATTGATATATCCTCTGGTCTTTACAAATTTTTGACAATCCTGTGTTTGATTCCTGATTGAATCTGATTTTTGTGATTTTTTCAGTCGAACGCTTTTTTGGATTTCGTCAATATTACCTTCAAAGAGAAGTCGACAACTAACTCCGTGTACGTCCCTTTGTTTGTTGAGAGGTTCTGGGACATGTTTGATAATTACTGTCGACAGATCTGGAATCGTTTCTCGATATAAGGGAGAGTAAGATACACTGAATTGAGGACCAATATCAAAAAGTTTCAACAAAGTTTTTTCCTTCGTTTTTTCTCCTGTTTTCTTTAGATCTCCGCTGAAACCCGTATGACTGGAAACCTTAGTGTTTTCAAATATATTTCTGCTATATTCCCAAAAGTTATGCTTCATTAAAAGAAAACGGGAATTCCATGAAATTATTGATATGTACAATAAGTTCATAAATATCACAAGTAGAATTCCACAAAATGGATACCGTACTCGACACCTCATTTTTTTTTTTTTTTTAAAATCTTAATGTATGTTACTGATTTGATAATTATCATTTTGTATACTAGCATGACGGTTAAATCTTGCAGTGCATTGGAAATACTTTTTTCATCTTTTTTCACAAAGTATTTCGGTAGGTTATAAAAAATAAAATTCTTTAAGCAGTGATAATCCTTCAGAGCAAAATGACATTAAAAAGGTATTTTATTTCATTGAAAAGTTTCTCACTGTTTTAGTAAAATGAGGTCTTTTAAATGTTAAATTTGACAAAGCATCTCAAATCTGTTTAAGGATCTGTTTTGTTGCTGCTCAACATATACATCTTCGAACTTTCTTCTGCAATTCAATTTTTCAATTTTTACTGAACCAGATTAACTTAATAGCCATCTACATTTTGTTTTCTTGGAGAGGACCATCCTGGTTTATGCACAAAATAAAATACATTGAAAAAATTGGCTTACATGTGTTTAAAGAGAGATTGAAGTCATCTTTAAGCACTTTAAACTATTAAACTATCCTTAAGTCATATATATATATATATATATATATATATTTATATATATATATATATATATATATATATATATATATATATATATATAAACTTAATGTTGTTTGTCAAAAGAACTACTGACTCTTACATTTTAACCCCTCAGCGATGCAGGGTTTTTATTATTTTATCATTAGAATTTGCGGATTTTAACAATGACTTATGTTTGTGAGGATAAAGTCTGAGGAACAAATAAAACAATGATTTATGAATTTAGAGAGATTTACAATATACCCAGAGAATTATTTGATTGATGATGTCGGTATGAGATAAACTATGTTACATCTCTTATTCTTATTTTATATTAAGTACGTCTTATTTTGCAAAACTCCTTTTGATGTCGACGGATATTATATAAAAATTGCATGTATTTGGGTGTAACATTGAAAATTTTCACCCCAAGAAAACCATTGTCAACCGAGGCGCATAAAGAAGACATTGCATCCAAGTTAATGGCCTCTTAAATATCTTTAAATAATATTTTATTTAATTATAAAATACATTTTTCGTTGTGAAAATATTTCTTGATCCGCCTCTCACTGCAAACAAACTGCGTCAGGTTTTACGAAATGACGTCACATCGACAAGTGCATCGCGATCAGTGACTTGTTCATACCTTGCTATGTGGAATTTAACTAAAGACAAAACAGCATGTTATAGTAAGTTTAGATGTAGTTTGATGGTTTCCTATAGTTTGAAATAGCAAATCATTTCATTTTGTAGTATTTTAAAGAATTGTTGGTTTTGTATGATGTCATAGTTAACATTTCCCGTACAAATTAGGCTCCGCCCCCTTTTTATAGCCTTAACTGTGCTGCGAACCTGTAACTGTTTTCGGTATTTAATCTACCAGAGATTCAGAGTTTTTGGTCTTGACACCTAAACTTATTTTTAAGTGATTTTTAAGTTATAATAAGAAAGAGTTTTTGTAGGATGAGAATTAATACTGTATTTTCTCTTATTTAACCTGTGAACGATTTACCAGGTATTTTAAACAGATGTGGGTTTTGGGAGAGTTCAAGAAGAATCAGTTAAAATTGCAGGGGATCCTAATGAAAGATGCAAATGTTATATTTTTTGTTATTTTGATCTAGACATGGTACTTAGTTTTTATAGCAAAATTTCCGTAAAATGGTTGATCAATCTGTGAAGGTTGTTGAACTTTCAAATAATAAACACCTTTTAAATGTTAATATCAATAAAATTTAAGACTCGTCTGAATATTTTAGCTGACCTATTTTTGTATTAAGGGCAGGGTGTTCTTGAGTCATTAGTATATGAAAACACTGGTATAAATTAAATGAGATTAATTTTCAACACCTTATAAACATAATCAGAGAAACATAAACGAGAGGTGTTGTGATTTTGCAGTATTTCACATTTATAAAATGTTTAATAACCTGAAATTTAGAATAGGTGCTATATTTTATTCTAAAATCGAACATTTATACCCCAATTATATATGAAATACTTAGAGGCACCTCTGAATATACCTCCATATGGAAAGTGAATCCCTCTCTTTCCACTAGTGTCGTTAACCCTAGTGGAAATAGAAAACAAGCCTTTCTTCATTGATTGGTTCAGCAACTGGTTATTTACTGTAAAGCGAGAATAATGAGTATTATATGCAAAGTTCAGCAAAACTCGTGTAGGATGTATAAAATTCATCCCTACGTTGCTATTATTTTGTATCCTTGACTTTGTGTCCTGATTTTTCAAAGTTTATTCGAAGGGTTCATTAAATTTATTCTTAAGTCAGATCTAACTAGGATATATCACGTGTCATGTCATATATGTATGTTATATGAAAGTAAATACAATAAAAAAGTCATAATCCTCAATAAAATCTTCAATAAGCAAATCAAACGCTTGGTAGGGTTATTGGAATGATGTGATATTGAACACCTGCAAGATTAACGCTGATATTACACAGTTTTACTTAACATACCTTACTGAGAAAGACACGCATTTAATTTAAATAATTGATATAAATCAATGGGAAAATGTTTTAGCTTTATAATAAAGGAGTTATTAAATCTCGATTTCTTAACCTGTATAACCAAGCTGAAGAGGCACTAACACACAGGCAAAGTTCATTTAAACAATGAATACCTTTGTATTTTTTCTGCAATAGCTGCAACCATTAATTCCCGCATAAACAAACAAAGAAAGACATTTTGTTTATATCATTGTCTGTACAAATAATCATACGAGGCTTGTTTAAGTATGTTAAATATTATTTTACTGAAATCTACGCGTCATTGTATGTTTTATTGAAAATCACACTGCAAAATAAATTTTTACGTGTGGCTTTCAAAGCCGTTCTAACTAGTTTACTGGTGTTTACATAAGAAATGATTAGTGGAGGTAAACATGAGATCAATGTGACTGTAGCTGTAAATTAGCAGAACGTTTATTTTTGAAAGTGCTTATTTCGTTTCTCATATTTTAAAGTTTGATTGATTGATTGATTGTCTGTGGTTTTGGGTACCATTTTTCACTCATATAGAGCCGTCACTATATACCGGTGAAGAGCTTCAAAGAACAAAAGTCGTTATGGGTCATAATCGGCCCTGTAAAATTGTGAAAAAATAAAGTGAAGTGATATTTAAATTCATGGTCTATAACAAATGTCCTGGGCACTAACTTTAAAGATTTGGTAATAGTTTGGCAGAAAGCGCGAGCAATGGGTTACAGTAAAAGTCAAAACCGGGGAAGTATTGACCTATACTCGGCACTAAGGGCCATTGAGCAGTGATGGTTCTTTATCGTGCCTACGCCACCGCGACACGGGACCTCGGTTTTTAAGGTCTCATCCGAAAGACCCTGGACTTTCACTTCTAGTGCCGGGCTCTTGGCGAATGAGCAGTCACTACCTATGTTTACGTCTCAGGTTTAACGCGGCGCGGCGAACGAGAATCGAACCCGGATCTCCCTTTCTAGAAGCGAACGCCCAACTGCTAGGCTATGGTGACAAGTATATTTTAAATTTTGTTTTCTAGGACTTCGAACTGTGTTAAAATTAAGCCAAAAAATTGAATTGTATTGTTGGGAAGAACTGATTTTCAGATTAAATTGTCAATTTTCTCTTTAGATAGAAAAGTGCAGGGTTTAAACTTTCAGTAGAATGTGAGCACCCAATTGACAACAAATGATATAAAATATTGTCACAATGAGCAGAAACATGTTATTTAGGTCTCTGCAATGAGGAACATTGAATTTTGTATGAAATAGTTCATATCCACTGTAATAATTATTAATATCCACTGGATAGAACTGAACTTGTAAAGAGAGATTGTATGAATAGCTGATGCCGACAAGGTAGGGATTTTGTCGAAGTAAAAAGAAACTTCAATTTGAAAGCCTAACAACTCCATGTCAACAAACAATCTCCTATGCAGAGTTGTCGTCCGTTCCTCTCCCAGGCATCTCTGCAATGGGCTCGCGTCAAGATTTTTGACATAACGTAAAATACATAATATTTCAAGGATAATTTCAAATTAAACTAATAGTTTTAGATCTATTTAGTAAATATTTATTTTTAAGGACTATCATTAATCAGAAATTTAATTATAATGAATTAAAACAAATGTACTATTTCTCGTGCTTATCATTGTGATATATGCGAGCCAACAACAGAGGTGAATGTATAAGCCGATGGTAGAGAGTGGTCAACAAAGTGGATTTGAAACTGCATGTATGATGACGTAGATAAAAGTGTGCCTATTTTATATGTCTGGTTACCAAAATTGCATCGCCGATGTTTTGATAATAAACTGAAATGAACAAAACTTTTTGATATATGAAAACTGACTGAGAACTCATTAGGGTTAGAAGATAGTGAATCAATTTCTTTTCCCCGAGTTCTTTTTTAGGAATATGCCCAAGGTTAAAAACTGTTGAACATTTAACAATGAAACCCATGTGTCTCTGAGGAAAGGTTTTGATCTAAATAGTGTCATTTGAATTAAGGAAAAGTAATCGGTCGTTTTGAATTTCAATTCCTTATCGACAAATTTTGGAACCGATAAAAATTAACATGACATATTCACTGGGGTAAGAAGAAAGTTGATCTGCCCGAACAACTTTTGGGAACTATGCCTTAGTTTAATAGAATATGGTACTTTTGACAACATATCGCGATGAAAACATGAAATGCATTGTTGCTAAGGAAAGATTTTGATCTTAATAGTGTCAGTTGTATTAACGAAAAATAAGCGGTTGCTTTGAATTTCCATTCTTCATAGACAGGTTTTGGATCAATCAAATTAAAATAACATATATATTGGCATTTTTTCTTTCTAATTTTTTTTTTTGGAACGGTGAAGTAGCCCAGTTGTAGGGCGTTTGC